GGAGGGCTTGCAGGTACCTAAAACTCTGAGGGAAACCCTCCTCTCCAAAGGAAGAGCTGTGGCCCCAAGAGGGTGAGCGAACTCCCGTTGTGTTTTTCTCTCTCTCCTCTCACCATGTGGCCCCAGATATGGGAAGTGGACAGCAGAGATAGGTAAATAAAGCCCGAGTCTTGGCGACAGGACAGAAAGAGGGAGCCTTAGGGAACTGGAAAATACCAAGATGTCACGGAGAGAGAGGACCTTGGGAAAGTGACCCTGTAGTTATTTATGAACTCCTGGGTCATGTCCAAGCTGCATGTGCATGAATCACATCCTAAACAGCATTCTAAAGACTTTGAGAACTGAACTAAAAGCTATATGAACACCAAGCTCCCGCTGGCTGCCACACGTGAGGGAGAGATTTGAATAGCACTGCAAAGGCATTGAAAACAGAACCGACAGTGAAACCATCAGCAAGAGAAGGCTGGTCAGAATGTGTAGCTTGAACCCAACTAGGTCAGTTGCCTGTTAAAATGAAAATATCAAATTATCAACATCAGGAATGAAAGAAGCAATTAACAGTCAGATCCCACAGACATAAAAGGATAATAAAGTAAACAACTCTACTCGCACATTTGACAACTTAGATGAAATAAACTGATTCCTCAAAAGTCACAAACTCCAAACTGCACCCAAGATCAAATATGTAACCTGAATAATTCTATAACTATTAAAGAAATTACGTTTATGGTTTAAAACCTTCCAAAAAAGAAATCTCACAGCCCAGTTGATTTCTCTGGTGAATTCTATCAAACATTTGAAAAGGAGTAACACCATTTCCATACAATCTCTTCCAGAAAATAGAAAAGGAGGTCACACTTCCCAACTCACTTTACGGGGACAGCGTTACCATGATGTCAAACTGGACAAAGACAGTACAAGAAAGGCAGCTTCTGACCAATATCTCTCATGAACGTAGATGAAAACATCCTGAACAAGATATTAACCATTTGAACCTAGCGATATATAAATAGAATAATACACCATGATCAAGTGGGATTCATACTAGGAGTACAAGGTAGGTTTGGTATTTGAAAATCAGTCAATGGAATCACCATATTAATGGTATAAATAAGAAAAACTACATGATCATATCAATTGATGTAGAAAAAGCAAATTAATATCATTCATGGTAAAAACTCTCAGCAAACTAGGAATTCCTCCACCTGAAGGAGTTCCTCCACCTAATAAAGAGCATTTTCAAAAAAGCTACATCATACTTAATGGTAAAAGCTAACATCATGCTTAATGGTGAAAGACTGAATCTTTTCTCCCTGGGATCAGTAACAAGGTAAGGATGTCCGTTCTCACAAGTCATATTCATCCTCATACTGGAAGTCCTAGCCCGTATAATAAAGCAAGAAAAAGAAATCAAAAGCATTCAGATTAGTAACAGAGAACAAGACTACCCCTGTTTGAAAACGACATAATGACTATGTAGAAGATCCTAAGAAATCTACAAAAATACTCTTAAAATAGGTGAGTTTAGCAAGGTCACAGGATACAAGATCAATACACACAAAGATCAATCATATTTCTATGTACTAGCAGTGAACAATCGGAAACCAGAATTTAAAAAAAAATTTACCGTGCCCCCTGTGAAATACTTAGGTATAAATATCACAAAACATATATAGTATCTGTATACAGTCATGTGTCACTTAACATTCTGAGAAATGCGTCCTTAGGAGATTTTGTTGTTGTGCAAACATCATAGAGCGAACTTACACAAACCTAGATGGTATAGCCTACTACACACCTGGGCTATATGGTACTAATCTAATGGGACCACCGTCAAATATGTGGTCTGTTGTTGACCGGAACATCTTTGTGCAGCGTGTGACAGTTCTGAAAACTATAAAATGCTGATAAGACCAAAATAAATGAAGAGACATACATTACTCGTGGATCAGAAGATTCAACAGAGTAAAGATGTCAGTTGTCCCCGTATTGATCAATAGATTTAATGCAATTCCAATAAAAATCCCAGCAAGACATTTTTTCAATATAGACAATCTTATTATAAATTTATACAGAAAGACAAATGAACTAGAATAGCTAAAACAGTTTGAAACAGAGAAATAAAGTTGGATTAATTGCCCAATTTTAAGACTTATAAAGAAACTACAATCAAGACAGTGTGGTGTTGGCAAAGAGACAGACACATAGATTAATGGAACAGAATAGAGTCCAGAAATGGACTCACAAATATAGTCAGTTGGATTTTGACAAAGATGCAAAAGCAATTCAATTGAGAAAGGATAGTCTTTTTCAACAAGTAATGTTGGAACAATTGGACATCTACCTGTTTAAAAAAAAAGAATCTTGATCTAAACCTCCCACTGTATAAAAATTAACTCAAAATGAAAAACACAAAACTGTAGCACTTTTGGAAGAAAACATAGGAGAAAATTTTAATGACCTGAGATTAAGCAAAGAGTTCTTTAAACGTGCACTCTTAAACATGACATCAAAAGCATAATCCATAAAAGAAAAACATTGATAAATTGAACTTCATCAAAAACGTAAAACTTTTACCCTGCAAAAGACACTGTCAAGAGAATGAAAAGACAGGCTGCAGACTAGCAAATCATGTATTCAACAAAGGACTTGTATCCAGAATATTAGAAAGAATTCTCAAAATTCAACGGTAAAAAACCAAACAACCCCCTAAAGCTCATAGAACTAATAAGTGAGTTCAATAAGGTTGTAGGATATAAGATCAACACACAAAAATCAATCATATTGCCTATACACTGGCAAAGAACAAATGGGAACAGAAATTGAAAACACAATACCACTTATAATTCCTCCCTCAAAATGAAATACTTAAGTACAAATCCAACAAAACATGTAGAGGATCTGTATGCTAAAAATTACAAAGTGCTGATGAAAAGAAATCAAAGAAGATTTGAAGAAATTGAGAGACATTCCATGTCCATGGGTTGGGAGATTCAGCAGAGTAAAGATGTCAGTTTTCCACAAGTTGATCTGTAGGATTAACAGAATTTCTATCAAAATTCCAGCAAGATTTTTTGTAGCTTACTCTAGAATTTATGTGGAAACACAAAGGATCTAGAATAGCTAAAACAATTTTGAAAAAGAATAAATTGGAAGGAATCACTCTACCTGATGTTAGGACTTATTGTATAGCTGGAGTAATCAAGACAGTATGAACCAAGACGTGTAGATCAATAGAACAGAATAGAAAACCCAGAAATAAGCACAAATACACCAAATTGATTTTGACAGAGAGGCTAAAGCAGTTTATGGAGGAAAGATAGCCTTTTCAAAGGTTGATGCCGGAGTAATTGGACATCTATAGACAAAAAAATGAACCTCAACCTAAGCATCATATGGTATACAAAAATTAATTTAAAATGGACCATCGATTTAAATGTAAAATGTAAAACTATGAAACTTTTAGAAGAAAACTTAGAATATCTTCAGGACCTAGTGCTTGGTGAAAAGTTCTGAGACACAAGAATATGTGTAACACACGAAAACCACACTCCATAAAAGAAAAAATAAACTGGGCTTCAAAATTGAAAGCCTTTGCATTGCAAAAGCCCCTATTAAAAGGATGAAGAGACGAAGTACAGACTGGGAGAAAATATTTGCAAACCACTTGTCTGACAAACGACTAATATCTGGAATGTGTAAAGAACTCTCAAAACTCACCAGTAAAGACAACCTAACTATAAAATGGGCCAAAAACGTGCATAGATATTCCACTGAAGAGAAGATACAGATGGCAAATAAGCACATGAAAAGGTGTCCATTATCATTAGCTATTAGTGAAATGCAAATTAAGATAGATATCACTATACACTTATTAGAATGACTAAAAACTAGTGATAATACTAAATGCTGGTGAGGATCTGACATGCATTGCTGGTGGGAATATAAAATGGTGCGGCCACTCTGGAAAACAGTTTGGCAGTTTCTTAAAAACTAAACATGTAATTACCATATGACCCAGCGATTACACCTCTGCACATTTATCCCAGAGAAACAGAAACTTAAGTTCACACAAAAACCTGTGCACAAATGTTCAGAGCAGTGTTATTTTTAATAGCAAAATACTGGAAACTACCCAAGTGTCCTTCAGTGGTAGACGATCGAACAAACTCTGGTATATCCATACAGTGGAGTACTACTCAGCAATAACAATGAGTGAACCATTGATACATGCAGCAGCTTGGAAGAATCTCAAAGGCATTACTCTGAGTGAAAGAAGCCTTTCTCAAAAAGTTGTATGATTCCATTTATATGACATTCTGGAAAAGGCAAAAACTGTTGGGATGAAGAACAGATCAGTGGTTGCCAGGGCTGAGGGGTGGAGGGAGGGTGTGATACAAAGTTACAGCATGAGGAAGCTTTTTGGAGGCGACGGAACTGCGCTATATCCTGGATGTGGAGGTGTGTCATGAATCGATATGTGTTCAAATGCATAGAGCTGTACAGCAACAAAAACGTAAAATTTACTGTATATTAATTTGAAAATAAAATGCAGTTTTGGCTTATATCCCTTCTAAGGCTCTCCCCTGCCCTTTAGACCTGTCCAGCTTCCCCTCTCCTCATTGGCACATGTCTTCCTGCCAGTCCAGTGTGCATGCTGTACCTCTTGCCCGCAAACCCTCTTCCCGAGCCCCAGCCCCTTCCCACACTGTACTTCCCCTGGGGTCTGTTTACCCTTCAGGGATAAGCCATTATGGAAAGCCTTCCCTAAGCCAGCCCCCTGCCTGAGCCAGATGCTTGCTCTCTGCAGCCTGGCTCAGCTTCTCGTGCATGGTAGCATAGTGGTTAGCGTGAGCATGGGCTTCCCAGAGCTTTAGATTACCCAATTGTCAGTCCAGTGGAGACTTCAATTATGTGCCTCCCAGAGTTCTTCCAATTCAAAGATTCCTAGTCAGTGGGAGCCAACTTGCGTGGGTTCAAACCGTGTCTCCCTTACTTACCAGCTGTGTGACCTTGGGCAAGTTGCTTGCTGTCTTTTTCCTCATTTCTTTCCTCTGTAAAATGGGTTTAATAATAGAACCACCTCTTAGAGGTGCTGTGAGAATTAACTTAGGTAATGCACGAAAAGAGCTTAGCACCTGGCTTGGCCAACGCTCAGTAAAAGTTAGCTGTAGTTATTGATAATAGTCATCGTGGCAGCTTTAAAATAATACAGGTTCCCAGGTCCCCCTGCCCTGATAATGTGAAGGAGAATGGCATTGGGATATACCTGCATTTTTTTAAAAAGCTCCCTCGGTAGGACTACCAGATTGAGCAAATAAAAATAAGGGTCACCCAGTTTAATTTGAACTTCAAATATACAACAAATAATGTTTTAGTGTAAGTACGTCCCATGCAATAGTTGGGGCCTGCTTGTACTAAAATTTATTTATCGCGTATCTGAAATTCAAATGTCACAGGGTGTCCTGCATTTTATCTACTTGCATTTAACCCTATCCTAGGCAACCTTGACATCCAGCCCACTTGGGGGCTCTGCTCCTGACTCCCTGGGTGGCGTCCAAAATTGAACCTCCCAGTCAAAAAACAGAGAGTATCCTTTCACTTGACACAGGGGGGAGCTAGAGGATGGTTTATTCACTTGCTTTCTTCCTAAATTGATGTCTAAGGAAGCACCAGCCAGTTAGCTGGCTTGCAACATACCTCTCTGTACTTGGGAATCCTTTTCAGAAGATCTTTAGGTCCGCCTCCCAGGGGACTGCTGGGAGGCTGTGAGAAGTGTATACAGAACCAGCTGCCTCTCTCTGTTGGGCCTCACTTTCAAGGGGGCTAATCCAGCCCCTCAGGGACTCCCTTTCTGCCCTGCCCTGCTTCCCCAGGCTGGCCTACCCCCACATTGATGTCATAGCCCTATTCTGATATCACAGCCCAGCGCTTGGAATTATCCCAAGCAGCCCAGGTTCTGCTCTTAGAGCAACCGAGGCCAACGTTTGTGCAGGGGGTGAGGCGGGCTTGGGTGGCTGGTGGCCTTAGGGGCTGACCCTAAAGAACATCTGGTCAGTCTGCCATCCTGTTCCTCCAAAATGAAAATCTTCTAAAAGGTAGGACTTTGAAGGCTTTCCTCCTGTCCCTGCTGACTGTGGTCCCCCAAGGTGGAAATAAGTTCTTGGGGAGTCTGGAATTGTTCTGGCCCTGGAAACAGCTCCTAGGAAACCTGCTGCCTTTGTGCCTTGGGATGCAAGTGGCCTGGAGAAATGGTGGTCTCCCCTTGGTCCACTCAACACTCTTCTCTTCCTGTTTGAAGGAACGGTTTCCTGTAAGGCAGTGTTCCTTACACGCTGGGGAAAGTTGTTCCTCATGGAGAATGCCTGCACGTTTTGAGCCGTGGTGGGTTCTTCTGTGGCCGCCTCCTCCCTGTTCACTCCTCAGAGGCCAGGTGGGAACAGGGGTGCGCTCTTCTCAGAACAAAGGGAAAATGTAGCCACATTCAGGCTATTAACTCTCAGAGCCCTCAGTCCCAAGGAGGGGAAGCTCCGTTCTCTTAACAAGTCAGAAGGTGTCAGGAGATCTCTTGTGAGCTTCTTAAATTAGTAAAATATTGGCTGGCATGGATTAAACAACATAATAAAAAACTCAATAACTTCTCTCTGACTTTGGTGGGCATAAAGTCCCCTGGGGTGAGCATGTAAAATTCTTAGGGGAAGACCAGTGAGATTTGATCTGATGGTCAGATGGCGCCCAGGAACCCCCATTTTTATTAAGCATTCCATGTGTGGTTATTCCGGTCCCCCAGGGATCTCATTTTAAGTAACACAGTCTGCTCAGACTCCCTGGATTGCTTGCCACAGCTGGTTTGATTCCCCCATTCCCAAATTCCATGTTTCCATGGAAGAGAGAATGTAGGGCATTTACCAGGTCCATTTGTGTCTGAGTTCTTGGCCCCTGTCTTCCAAGGGTAGGTGCAGCCTTTTTCTCTACCTAATAAGAAGGATTATGTCTGTGTTGGGAGTCCTATACCTTTTACTCATCAGAAACTCTGTCTTCATGGTCCTCACTGGACTGGCATGGATTAACAATACAATAAAGAGAATGTATTGTTTCCCACTGAGAAAGAATATGGGTGTGAATTATTGGTCATTGAAACTGATAGTGGGCAAGAATATTGCTGACCAAAGGGATGGCTTCTGTTTCTGTGGTGGCCCCAGGATGAACACTTAGTGGTACCCAGCAAGGTAGCCAGTGTTTATCAATGGGTTAGCAGCTCAAGGCGGGTATTCCCTCCCTAATTTGGCTGTAAATTCAGGTTTCCCCAAGAATGCTACACAGCCTTCAGAACATATAAACGTATCCTGCCTCGTTTGGAGAGGAAGTTAGTTTCTGGTTTGGAGCCCTTTGGATTAGGCAGAGTCCAGCATCCAAGTGTCCAGGCCTGGAGCCCCTGTGGTCTCAGTGCTTTTCTCCATGCTCTGATCCAAGTGGGAGGCAGGATGTGTCCTGCCCCCGGTCCTTGGTCGTTGGTCCTCAGGTGTTGGGACAGAGGGGTTGACCCCACCGAAATCCTCCAAAATGCAGATGGGTCAGCCTGGCTTCCTCTCAAACTCTTCTCCGCTCTGACTCACACCTGGGCCACCTCATCTAGTAAGAGGATTTCCCCTCAGCGATGCCAGGACTGGATATTGGCTCACTCCAGTCCACTTGCCCAAGGAAGGGGAGGCCCTGACTGCCCGTCCTGGTTTTTGAGGAGAGAAAAACCAGTGCCCACTTTGAGAAATGAGGTTTTGGGGATTTTGTTAAAATGAAGGACAGAACTCTGCAGGTCAGGACAGCATCCCTAAGGCTCCTTGCAGGTGGAGCCAGCGCTTTTACTTTACAGCTTCAGCAGAACCTCGGGTATAGTTGTTGCTCAGCAAACATGTCGGTTGAAAGAGGTACAGGTAAAAGCCTCAGATAGGACAGTTGGGCTCAAGGATGCTGCGAAACCTTGGGGATGGGATTTTTTTAAACTTTCGGTTTTTTTGTTACGGGAAATGTAAGACATAAACAGAAGTGGACTGAAGAGTCTCAGAAACCTGCACATACCTGTCACCCAGACACAGCAGTTGTCTACTCAATCTTGTCTCTATGCCTCCACCCTCCTCCCCCATCCGGTATCATCTTGAAGCTAGTTGCAGACATCATCATATCATTCATTGTCAATATTTCAGGATGTACCTTTAAAAGATAGGATTCCTTTTTTTTTTTTAACAGAGCCGAAGTACTATTATCTCATCTAAAAAATTAATGATAATTGGAATGAGGTTTGTTTAAACGAGCCAGTACTCTCCCTGGTGTCTTAGAGCATGTGCGGGAACTAGAAAAGGGAATACAGGGGCTGAGAGACATCTGTGTGCTTCCAGCAGAGACGGCTGGGCTTTATTCAGAGTCTAAAGAAACCAGAGAGGAAGTTAACATCCCTCAGCTGGGAGAGAATTCTGGCCCTTCCCAAAGCAGCAGGGCTTGGGTGGAGTAGGTCGTCATGGAAGGATGGAGACTTCTAATGGCTTGGCCTTTCCAGGGGGCTCTGTAGAATAAAGGGTGGGGCATGAGTTGGAGTCAGTTCTCAAGTATCCACATTAGCAAAGGCAAGAGCTACCAGAAAGAAACTCAGCAAAGTGAGGGTATTTTGTTCTGTAGGAGGGGTTGGCAATTTGAATTTAGATGTGGTCCCGTGACCCATACAGATGGCAGCAGCTTACCCCCAAGGGACCCATATAAATCAGTGCCAGCTGAAAGAGGCTCAGCGTAAATGGGTCACCAGCGAGTTTGAATGTATGTGCAGAATTCGAGGAGACTGATGTTCAGTTCTTGGAGAAACTGAGTTGGAGTTTCACAGTGAGGGTGACAGGCAGCCTTTGTTCTGACCTCACCTCTCCCCGTGAGACCCTCTGCCTGCCCGCTAAGCCCAGGAGCCAGCCCAGAGGTGGCCCCCGTATTTCAGTAGAAAGTAGACATTCTGAAACATGTTTGTATTGGGGGGTGGTCTTCATAAGAGGACTAGTAGGGGTCATTTGACAAAAAAAAGTAGACAAAAAAGTCATTATCTACATTTGATACATTCTTACCATTGAGATGCTTTAAGCATCGTTTTCCTGCCAGGGCAATTACCTTGATTACTAATTGCTTCCTTTATAACTAAAGGGCATAATAGCGCCTTCCTTTATAATTATCAGATTTGAAAGGCCTATGCTCTGTTGACATTTAGATGTGAACCTGCTTTCGGATCTGTGGGCATGAGTATCAGGATCTGACGCAGGCAGGGCAGTTGGCTCACTGTGCCACTAGTTTCCAAGGCAGAGGGCCCCACGTTGCCTAAAACCAAGACAGGCGGGGCTGGGACATCTCCCTGGGTACCTCCTGCACTTCACTTTGCTGGTTTGAGCTTTGATTTGGAGATAAACTTTGAAAGCTCAAGGCTAGGTGTTCTGGGCTATGGAACTGGAAGGCTGGGCTCTGTTGGGGTCCCCTCAAGCAGTTCCTGAATCTCCTTTGCATCATGGTATGAAGGGGAGTGGCTTAGTAAAAGGGGTGCAAAATTTGGGATCCTGGCTTGGCTCTGATTCACCGTGTGTCTTTGGACTAGGCCCTCAATCTCTCTAAGCCTCAATTTCTTTGCCCATCAAAGGGAGGAATAATGATGTATCATAAGATGGTTGTGAGGATAAATAACAACAACAACAATAATAATGATAATAAAATAATACACAACAACTCTAGGTGAGATAGAAGCGTGTGGCACAGCTGACAAATGCCAGTCATTATCAACATACGCCATCCCTAGCTTTTCAGCCTGGATCCCTAGTTGACAAGAGATCTATGTGTGATGGCCTCATGCATGTGGGGATGTCTCCTAATTGCACTGGAAACACCTTGATAGACAGGGACCTCTTTACTAATTCTTTTTTTTAAAATTATTTTTTCATGGTTTTCTGTTCAGAGTCAGTTGGTGGCAGGGAACAAAAACCCACCCAAATTGTCTTAGGTAAAAGTAGGGGATTATGCTTGGGGTGCATCCTGGAGAGAGAGGATGTGTTAGCTCGTCCTCCCTCTGACCCTCCCACTTCTGATTCTCTCCCAGTATCCCCTCCATTTCCTTTTCCTCTGCAGACTGGCTGCTTTATTCCTCTATAACTTTGTTCTGCTAGTGAGCCTGACTTGCCCTGGCTGTGTCCAGCCTCCTGGCTGCTGTCTCTGGGCCCTAGTTTCAAATTCTTGGGCTAGAGGCTTCAGTGCAGCTTGTAACAGAAACCCAACCCTGTTCCCATCAGGCATGGCCAGGGGGTAGGGTCACGCCTGAGGGACGATCTGAATGTCTTTAATGAGGGAGCATGAAATCCTGCCCCTTTTCTGGGTGCTTCTAAGATGTGACCTCTTCTACATACCCTTCCCTGATTACCTCCAGCCTCCATCCAGTGGTCCCTCACTGCTCCCACCAGGAGCAGGAGCGGGAGCAGGAAGAGAACAGGAGGGTAGGCAGCAGCTATATGGGCTCCATGCGCTCTGCAGCTGCCCCTTGCCCATGCCTAGCCCAGGCCAGGGAACTGTGATGAGCTCGGACCCAGCTCTGGAGGGAGGCCAGGCCAGCAGGCAGGCGCAACAACCATGAATTGTGGAAGAGAATCCTTGGGGGACAAGACAGTCCCCTGGAGGCAGGGGCAGGAGACATGGAAGCTTCCAGAGGCCCCTCACAGGCAGCCTGGGTTGCCAGGGGGCCTTGTAAGCACAGAAAGAGCTGGGCCCAATGGAGGCTGGCTCTCGGCAGCATAGTGGTTGCCCGTCCATAAGTGGCATGCCTAGGCACAGTGGCACCAGCAGCCAAGGGCCTCAGTGTAATTCCTACAACTTGGACTGGTGCGAAGGGCTGTCCTCATCTGGAGGGGGGTGCCAATAGGTGGGGCTCCGGGCTGGCCACTCTGTCAGCCTAAGTAGCTTCCCTTGTTCTGTGTCTGGTGGTCTCTGGTGAAGGATATCTGTTTGAAAAATGGATTCTACTGTAAGAGGTTTGAAAACCGTTGCTCCAGAGCTTTCACCTGAGATTGGGATTGGCTTCAAAAGTGATGTTGAGCCTGAGGGTGTCAAGGGGCAGGGCCTGGTCGTTTTCATGATCTCTCTGTTTGTCCCCTCGACAGGCCCCCCCACCCCCTGCCCCGGCCACTGCAACACACACGAAAGGAAACCTGTGGCGGCAACTCCCTGGAAGGCTTCACAGACCTTGGCCTGGTCTTGCTGTTGCCCCTGTTCAGCTGACAGTGCTCTCCAGGGGCTACCACATCTGGGGTCCTTTCTCCTCCCACAGAAAGGAGAGAGGCCGTGCTTGTGCACAGGCCCTCAATGCCTGGATGTAGAAGAAACATTCCATCCAAGCCCCAGATGTTTGGTGTGCACAGTGCCACATACTCGTAGGCCCCCTTCGTCCAGGTTAGAGCAGAGAAAAGCGAAGCTGGGCCAACAGGCAGCCACAAGCCCGGAGAGCCAGGCCGAGTGCTCAGGCAGGAGTTAGCGGCTCCTGCAGCCTCGGGCACTGCCCTCTGTAGAGTGAGAAGAATTAATTGTAGTGGGTTCGTGGGGGACCAGGATGGAGGCTGCAAGCTGGCATTCTGGTGGGCAAGTTCTGGCTGTAGATGACTGAGTGGGTTTTCCTCTCCCACCGGTATCCACCTTACATTTTTCTTTGGAAGGCAGTCAGAAATGCTTGACTGCTCGGAGATGAGGAAGTCTCTCTTGAGGAATGGGGTTTTCAGTTTAATAAGGCTCTTGAGTCATGGCACCGTACCTGCCTTGGAAGAAGTGCAGCTACAGTGAGCCCATCTTTCCTCATCTCTGTTAAGCATCAGAAGTGGGCAGGCCAGACTGCCCCATGGGACATCTTGTCACTGATAAGGCAGCTCTGTGTTTGCAGAGAACTCCTACTCTTGGACGTTTTGTGAGCTTAGCCAGAAGTGTCAC